TTTTTTCTTTTTCGCACTAGGTGGAGGTAAGATAATAGGACATGGTCATTCTTACCCCTCAAACGAAATTCACAATGATGAGTTAAAAAAATATGTTGATACAAACGACGAAGTAATATTTCCGTGTCTGCTTCGTTTCTCCCGTCTGTGTATATATCTATATACAGATCTGCTTTAAAAATTACCCCCCCTGATGCGTTTCAACATTTATGGCTTAAATGAGCCCCTATTTAGTCTGTACAGACGCTCTAATGTGCGCGCTCTTTACTCATGGGCACCTTTTTAGTGGATTAGAATCCGAACGGGAATTAAAAAAAGAAGGATTCTAAAACGAAATGAAAACATATCAATGCTGCAGATAGAAAGCGCTAATCGGGCTCTTAAAAGCTGCTCGCTGGACCCGTTAAGTGTAGACATGGTAAGGATACGTCGGGTGTACTTCTCGTGAGCGCGGCGCGCGGGAATATTCTCCACATTATATATGGCATCTTTACAATTCAATATAGTACAATGTAAGTTAATTTAATTCTGTTCATTTTATTGTTTTATTTTATTTATTTTTTTTTTTTTATCTTGCTGCCATTTCGTTGTAAACGCATTTAAGCTTTCCCTGTAGCGAAATGGACGTGGTGCATTTAAATGTTGGTGCATGTGTTAGCTGCTCTAGCTGATACACACATGAGGAGACATTTTTACTTATTTATCCACCTGTGCCGCGCATGACGCCCCATAAACACGTTGCTCGATTTATTCGGCTTTACAGGGCTATCTTTCATTTTAGCCATAACGCAAATGAAAACTTCGTCCAAATTAGGAACTTCTAACATTTTCATGTGTACTATTCGCAGATCATCAACGCGTCATCCACACCTCATAATTTGTTCGGTGACGCAAACAACATTAGTAACAAGCTTGGGTGCAAAAATAGCGTTAACATGGACTTAACGGCGGCGTGCACAGGATTCGTTTTCGCCTTTGCTACAGGTTCTTTTTTATGAGTGAAAAAAGGGAGTGCACCTTGGAACATGATAAGTTTATTTTTTTCTCGTTTTTCTTCACATTTTTCTTCACATTTTTCCTATCGCCACTTGCGTGTGTCCATTTCCCCCCCCCCCTCCTTGCAGCGTATAACTTTTTACCTAAGTATAAGAACATCCTCATCGTTGGCAGCGACGCGCTAAGCAATTTTGTCGACTGGAGGGACCGCAACACATGTGTTTTATTCGGCGACGCCGCAGGTGATATCCATGCGTGTGTAAATTCTCCCTACTAGTTTGTCGGAACAAAAGTGGAAGAAACATCACCTCACTTTAGTTGCACAACGTGCCCAGATAAAGCAGCCATTTGGAGAACAAAAATAAAATGGATACCCCAATTGGCTCTGCCCCTACCGCGGACACCTTCAGTATTTAACACCTGACCAATTCGAAAAAACGCCCCCGCGAACAACAGCTTTCCCCTCCCCCCCCTTTGCAGGAGCTGTCGTGTTACAAAGGACAGAACCAAATGAAGAAAATCACATATATGATTATTCCCTAGGATCGAACAGCGAACTGAATGATTTATTAACAATTAACTTCGAATGCGATGAATACAATTTGGAAACGCCAAATAAAAACAAATATGGAAAATTGAATATGAATGGGAAAGAAGTATTCAGATACACCATTAGCAACTTGCCAAAGATTGTCCAGAAGGCTACACATGAGGCTAACATAAAAATGGAGGAGATTAACTACTTTATATTTCATCAGGCTAACATACGAATTATAGAGACTGTGTCAAAAAGTTTGGACATTCCGCTATCCAAGGTGAATGCGTTTTCTTTTCCTTTACGATTCGTTTGCAACTTGGCGGCCACCACGTCACGCATACGCACGATAAAGACGCATACGAATGAGAAACACGCATGGCGAACCCTTTCACTCATTTTAAATAGGTCCTGGTTAACCTAGACGAGCACGCGAACACGTCCGCCGCCTCCATCCCCTTGTGCCTATCAGAAAACGTATGAGATGGAAAGGAACGGAAAAAATAAAACTTATAAATATGAATATGTACATTCAGGGTGCACCCCCCCCTAACCCGTCGTGTGCATTATATGAGTCGTGCATGATCAAGCTTAACCAAATAAATAATTACATTGTCAACAAAGTGCCAATGTTTCAATGTTGGATGTTTTATTATTTATCCTTCCTCCAATTCGTTACCACCGCTTTTCCATTTGCCTCTCTACAGATACACAGCGGGAAAATCAAAAGGAATGACGTCATATGTATGTGTGGCTTCGGAGCAGGCATGTCATACGGATGTGTCATATTTAAATATTAACAACAAAGAAGGGGGCGCAAACAGCACGCCTCTTTGCGTTATTTTTAAAACCCTCCAACCCTGAAGCTCTTCGAATGTTATATTTCTGTGCATTGCGTATGTGAAGATTTATGAAGGAATAAAATAAAAAAAAAAAAACACCTTTTTTGCTATATGCACAAATGCAGAACTATGTTAACGCCCCAGATTTAACGACTTTTTTTTTTTTTTTTTTTTTTTTTTAAATTATTATGTTTGCCTTCCCGTGGTTACGTTTCTGTTCCCTCCATTGTTAATTTAA